TGATTCAGGTGATCCAATCCCCTCCATATCATGTGATTCAGGTGTTCCAATCCCCTCCATATCATCATGTGATTCAGGTGTTCCTATCCCCTCCATATCATGTGATTCAGGTGATCCAATCCCCTCCATATCATGTGATTCAGGTGTTCCAATCCCCCTCCATATCATGTGATTCAGGTGATCCAATCCCCTCCATATCATTGTGATTCAGGTGTTCCAATCCCCTCCATATCATGTGATTCAGGTGTTCCAATCCCCTCCCAATCATTTGATTCAGGTGTTCCAATCCCCTCCCAATCATGTGATTCAGGTGTTCCAATCCCCTCCATATCATGTGATTCAGGTGTTCCAATCCCCTCCATGGACACAGGTGTATACAATCAAGCCCCTAGGCATGCAGACGGCTTCTACAAACATTAGTGAAAGAATGGGTCGCTCTCAGGAGCTCAGTGACTCCAAGCGTGGTCCCGTGATAGGTGGCCACCTGGGCAATAAGTCCATCCGTGACATTTCCTGGCTACTAAATATTCCACACTCAACTGTTAGTGGGATTATAACAAAGTGGAAGCCACTGGGAACAACAGCCACTCAGCCACCAAGTGGTAGGCCACGTCACATGACAGGGCGGGGTCAGCGCATGCTGAAGCGCACAGTGCGCAGAAGTCACCAACTGTCTGCAGAGTCAATAGCTAAAGACCTCCAAACTTGGTGTGGCCTTCAGATGAGCCCAACAACAGTGCGTAGAGAGCTTCATGGAATGGGTTTCCATGGCCGAGCAGCTGCATCCAAGCCTTCCATCACCAGAGCAATGCAAAGCGTCAGATGCTGTGGGTGTAAAGCACGCTGCCGACTCACTGGACTCATAGAGTAGTGGAGGTGTGACTTCTCTGGAGGGACCAATCACGCTTCTCTGTCTGGCAATCCGATGGACGTGTCTGGGTTTGGTGGTGGCCAGGAGAACGGTACTTGCCTGACTGCATTGTGCCAAGTGTAAAGTTTGGTGGAGGTGGGATTATGGTGTGGGGGTTTTTTTCAGGGGTTGGGCTTGGCCCCCTAGTTCCAGTGAAGGGACCTCTTAAGGCGACATTTTGGATAATTTCATGGTTCCAACATTGTGGGAGGAGTTTGGGGATGGCCCCTTCCTGTTCCAACATGACTGCCCCCCAGTGCACAAAGCAAAGGTCCATAAAGACATGGAGGAGCCAGTTTGGGGTGGAGGGAACTTGACTGTCCTGCACAGAGTCCTGACCTCAACCCCATAGAACACCTTTGGGATGAATTAGAGCGGAGACTGCGAGCCAGGCCTCCTCCCCCCATCAGTGCCCCTCCCCCGACATCAGTGCCCCTCCCCCGACATCAGTGCCTGACCTGACAAATGTGCTTCTGGAAGAATGGTCCAACCTTCCCATAGACACCCTCCTAAACCACTTGTGGATGGCCTTCCCAGAAGAGGTGAAGCTGTTATAGCTGCAAAGGGCGGGGCCAACTCAATATTGAACCCTACGGACTAGACTGGGGGGCCATTAAAGGTCATGCATGTGGAAAGGGCGGGGCCAACTCAATATTGAACCCTACGGACTAAGACTGGGGGGCCATTAAAGGTCATGCATGTGGAAAGGGCGGGGCCAACTCAATATTGAACCCTACGGACTAAGACTGGGGGGCCATTAAAGGTCATGTGTGTGGAAAGGGCGGGGCCAACTCAATATTGAAACCCTACGGACTAAGACTGGGGGGGCCATTAAAGGTCATGTGTGTGGGAAGGGCGGGGCCAACTCAATATTGAACCCTACGGACTAAAGACTGGGAGGCCATTAAAGGTCATGTGTGTGGGAAGGGCGGGGCCAACTCAATATTGAACCCTACGGACTAAGACTGGGAGGCCATTAAAGGTCATGTGCGTGGAAAGGGCGGGGCCAACTCAATATTGAACCCTACGGACTAAGACGGGGGCCATGAAAAGGTCATGTGTGTGGAAAGGGCGGGGGTCATCTCAATATTGAACCCTACGGACTAAGACCGGGGGCCATTATAGGTCATGTGTGTGGGAAGGGCGGGGCCAACTCAATATTGACCCCTATGGACTAAGACTGGGGGGCCATTAAAGGTCATGTGGGTGGAAAGGGCGGGGCCAATTCAATATTGACCCCTACGGACTAAGACTGGGGGGCCATTAAAGGTCATGTGTGGGGGAAGGTGGGCGGGACAATACTTGGGGCAATATCGTGTGTGAAGTTCAGGTGTCCATGAACTTTGGGACATTAATTGTATGGCTGTGGGGGAGGGGCCTGCTCCCTCTTATTGGCCCTGTTCTGGAATGGGATGTCCACCAAGCTCCTATGTACGATGGTGGGGGGGGGTCACTCTTGGTCATGTAGTGTATTGGATGGCAGATGGATGTAGACAGATATAGATTGGTGTGTGTATGGTGGCGCAGGGATCACTCGTTTCCGGCAAGAACATTTATCACGTTGTTTTATACTTACACCAGAAAATGTCTCCATTTCACTATAAAAAATAGCCGTTTTATTTTTACCGTAAACCTAATACCGGTCATACACAGGCCAATTTTCCGGCAATTTCACCGACTTTCAGACACAAAAAGAAGCTGTTGGCGTTCCCTTGCCTTCATCTCTTTGGCCATGATGGAAATGGCGGCACATCACCAGGGCAGCCTGACCACACACATCGCAATCTGATTGTATGATCTCCTAGTGCGGGGGCCTATCGTATCATCAGACTGCTGAGGCAGACCTGAGAGACAGAGATTGTCCAATGTGATTGTGATGTGTATGGCCAATGTAAGCCTCCATGTGAATGAAGTCCCACACACTGAGGGGGTGATGGAGGCTCTGATGTGATAGCGATAGACACCAGGGGCGGACTGACCATTTGGAAAACTGAGGGCCCGGGGTCAGAAGGGGGCCCCATGAGATGCCCCTGGTACCCCATGAGATGCCCCTGGTACCTTTTTGCCCATAGGCCCCATGAGTTTCAGTTGAGTTTGATCAAGGACACAGGGGCCCCATGATCCACTATTGCCCAGGGGCCCCATGAGTTGTCAGTCCGCCCCTGGTTTGGGCAAGGACACAGGGGCCCCATGATCCCCTATTGCCCCAGGGGCCCCATGAGTTGTCAGTCTGCCCCTGGTTTGGGCAAGGACACAGGGGCCCCATGATCCCCTATTGCCCGGGGGCCCCATGAGTTGTCAGTCCGCCGCTGGTTTGGGCAAGGACACAGGGGCTTCATGATCCCCTATTGCCCAGGGGCCCCATGATCTTCTATTGCCCAGGGGCCCCATGATCCCCTATTGCCCAGGGGCCCTATGATCCCCTATTGCCTGGGGGCCCCATGAGTTGTCAGTCCGCCCCTGGTTTGGGCAAGGACACAGGGGCCCTATGATCCCCTATTGCCTGGGGGCCCCATGATCCCCTATTGCCCAGGGGCCCCATGAGTTGTCAGTCCGCCCCTGGTTTGGGCAAGGACACAGGGGCCCTATGATCCCCTATTGCCCAGGGGCCCTATGATCCCTTATTGCCCGGGGGCCCCATGAGTTGTCAGTCTGCCCCTTGTTTTGGTAAGGACACAGGGGCCCCATGATCTCCTATTGCCCCGGGGCCCTATGAGTTGTCAGTCTGCCCCTGGTTTGGGCAAGGACACAGGGGCCCCATGATCTCCTATTGCCCAGGTTCCCCATGATCTCCTATTGCCCAGGGGCCCCATGATCTCCTATTGCCCAGGGGCCCCATTATCCCCTATTGCCCAGGGGCCCCATGATCCCCTATTGCCCGGGGGCCCCATGAGTTGTCAGTCCGCCCCTGGTTTGGGCAAGGACACAGGGGCCCCATGATCTCCTATTGCCTGGGGGCCCCATGAGTTGTCAGTCCACCCCTGGTTTGGGCAAAGACACAGGGGCCCTATGATCCCCTATTGCCCGGGGGCCCCATGATCCCCATGATGTTGTCAGTCCACCCCTATTTGGGCAAGGACTACAGGGGCCCCATGATCCCCTATTGCCCGGGGGCCCCATGATCCCCTATTGACCCAGGCCCCATGATCCCCCTATTGCCCGGGGGCCCCATGAGTCTCCCCTTGGGTGCCCAGGGGCCCCATGATCCCCTATTGCCCAGGGGCCCCCATGATCTCCTGGTTTGCCCGGGGGGGGCCCCATGATCCCCTATTGCCGGGGGGCCCCATGAGTTATCAGTCTGCCCCTGGTTTGGGTAAGGACACAGGGGCCCCATGATCCCCTATTGCCCAGGGGCCCCCTGAGTTGTCAGTCGGCCCCTGATAGACACCATTAGAGCGATTCCTGAGGCCTGCACCGCAGATCCTGCCCAGCTTTGCACCCCATTTACAGTGCGGCACGTAATCCTCGGGGGAATGTCGGATCAGAAGGACACACAGATGTCGGGCCGACAGAGGAGACCACGAGACGGGAGAAGCCAAGACAAAGAGACGGAATGGTTCTTCGGGGAAATCTCCCCCCCGTTGGAGCTCCTCTTCCTCCCCTGGGCTCATTTTTGCCCCCTTCTGTTTTCCAGGGAAGATCCGTCTGCAGAGATGGGGAGGAAGATAATAAAGACGTGGGGCTCCCCGGGGATTCTGGGATATTATGGCAGGCCATCCCGCAGCAGCACCTGATCACAGCCCTTTAAATGGAGCAGCTGAAGTGGAAAGCCTTCACACATCCTGAGCACTGGAGCAGGAAGGTAGGAGAGGAAAACGCCTCGGAAAGGAGGGATGGAGCCGTGTGAGGGGATGACAGCTCTATAGAAGGAGAGATCACTGGAAGGAGGAGGAGCTGAGAGAAAACAGAAAGCCAGGAGGGGGAAAGACAGCAAAAAAAAAAGGAATGATGCAGAATTGATGAAGAGAGGCACAAATAGCAACAGACTGACAAGGATACCGAGACACAGCAACACCAGAGAGACAGACCCCCAACCAGGCACCTGGGAGACCACCAGGAAGGTGCAGGACACCACAGGTTCAGAGCAACACCAGAGAGACAGACCCCCAACCAGGCACCTGGGAGACCACCAGGAAGGTGCAGGACACCACAGGTTCAGAGCAACACCAGAGAGACAGACCCCCAACCAGGCACCTGGGAGACCACCAGGAAGGTGCAGGACACCACAGGTTCAGAGCAACACCAGAGAGACAGACCCCCAACCAGGCACCTGGGAGACCACCAGGAAGGTGCAGGACACCACAGGTAGAGCAAGACCAGAGAGACAGACCCCCAACCAGGCACCTGGGAGACCACCAGGAAGGTGCAGGGACACCACAGGTACAGAGCAAGACCAGAGAGACAGACCCCCAACCAGGCACCTGGGAGACCACCAGGAAGGTGCAGGACACCACAGGTACAGAGCAAGACCAGAGAGACAGACCCCCAACCAAGACACCTGCGAGACCACCAGGAAGGTACGAGACAGCACAGGTACAGAGCAAGACCAGGGAGACAGACCCCCAACCAAGACACCTGCGAGACCACCAGGAAGGTACGAGACAGCACAGGTACAGAGCAAGACCAGGGAGACAGACCCCCAACCAAGACACCTGGGAGACCACCAGGGCACACACAGCAAGGTGTGCGAGACACCACAGGTACAGAGCAATGCGGGGCTTGCTGGTCCTGGTCCTGGGAACTGTCCAGTGCTGAAGTCTGGAGGAGCATCAGGGCTGCTGTCCAGTGCTGAAATCTGGAGACATGTCCAAACTGCCGGCCAGTGCTGACATCTGGGGGAACATCCAGGCTGCTGGCCAGTGCTGAATCTGGGGATTATCAAGACTGAAGTCCAATGCTAACATTTGGGGGATCATCAAGGCTGGCCTCCAGTGTTGACATCTGGGGGACCATCAAGCTGCTGTCCAGTGCTGAAACTGGGGGACCAGCAAGCTGCTGTCCAGTGCTGAAACCTGGGGGACCATCAAGCTGCTGTCTAGTGCTGAAGCTGCTGTCTAGAGTCAATCAAGACAGGTGCCCAAAGCTGAAATCTGGGGTATCATCCAACAAGCTCCTGTCCAGTGCTGAAATCGTGGGGATCATTGCAGCTGCTGTCCCTTCCCAAGATCTGGGGGACCATTCAGACTTCCAGTCCCATGTTGGAATCTGGTGTACCATCCAAACTACTCTCTCTTACCAGAATCTGGGGGGCAATCCAAACTCCAGTCCAGTGTTTAAGTCTAGAGGGTCTTCCAGGCTGCTGTCCCATGTTGGAATCTGGTGGACCATCCAAATTACCCTCTCTTGCCAGAATCTGGGGGGCCATCCAGACTCCTGTCCAGTGTTGAAATCTAGAGGGTCTTCCAGGCTGCTGTCCCTTGTTGGAATCTGGGGGACCATCCAAAGTACTCTCCCCTGCCAGAATCTGGGGGGTCATCAAAGGTCCTGCTGGTATCTGGAGAAGCATCTAAACTACTGTCCAGTGCAGCCTTCCAGAGACCTGATGGTGCCCAGCAGAGGTTCTCCTTATTTTGAGGGCTGGGACTCTACCCCTTTCCCTCCACTGGTTCCATCTCTCTGACCCAGCAGAACATTTGGTGTCCCATTCCGGGGAGCGTGGAGGAGGAGAACTGCAGTTGATGTCCCTCTTTCAGCATCGTTCTTCATTCTTCTTTTCACTTCCATAACCCTCTCCTCCTCCCTGACCCTGCACTGACCTTTCACCTCTGGAGGGGAAGAGGAACAATGCCAAGGTCCTTTCTGGTGAAAAAGGTAAAGGACGGCTTCTGCTCGACTGACAGCGAGAGTGCTTATGTCAGGCATCGGTCAGACTTCACTGCACACATCTCCGACAAAGGTGAGCTCCATCCCTGGTCTCTAGACCTCATAGACCCTCAGGGGCCAGTACTGGGCATTGGTAGATGGGTGACTGGGCATAGTGACACCTCATGGGGCAAACAGCTTTACATGTATGTGACCTAGAAGGACCAAGTAGAGGGCTTCACCTGGAGGAACCCCAACACACCATGCCACATACACAGCAAAGGGGTAACTAAGTTCACACACATGAATGAGCATGAGATCACACAGTTGGGGGGACCGCGGCGGGGGGGGGGGGGCAGATATCCGACACAGCCTTTACCCATGTGGTGATAATTGGGGGTCATCCCCGTGGAGCAGCAATGACCCCAAGCACCAGTTGTGCCCTCATTAGTGGATCTCCCCCAGGTCTGCCAGCACTGATTGGTGTTCTGAGGGACAGTCCATAATGACCAATGTTGGCCAATGGCCCTTACTGGACCCAACAGTGCTGATCACTCCCGGCCTAAAGTCCCCGCACTGCACATGTGAGAAGACAACTCTGCAGTCCCCAGCAAACAGCTGACTGCAGCATGTCCCGGGATCCACACACCATGTGCGCAAAGATATTACTCTGCAAACACACGCAGTGCTCTGCAATCCCTGACACATCCAGAAATCTACAGTCACTCCTACACCCGCACAGTCCTCCGCAGTGTTCTACATACCCCACCGCCTGCATACTCCACCGCACATGCAAAGCTCCGCCATGGGGCTCCTCTACAGAGAATACTCCGCCATGGGGCCCCTCTACAGAGAATGCTCTGCCATGGGGCTCCTCTACAGAGAATGCTCCGCCATGGGGCTCCTCTACAGAGAATGCTCTGCCATGGGGCTCCTCTACAGGGAATGCTCCACCATGGGGCCCCTCTGCAGAGAATGCTCCGCCATGGGGCTCCTCTACAGAGAATGCTCCGCCATGGGGCCCCTCTACAGAGAATGCTCCGCCATGGGGCTCCTCTACAGAGAATGCTCTGCCATGGGGCTCCTATACAGAGAATGCTCCGCCATGGGGCTCCTCTACAGAGAGTGCTCCGCCATGGGGCTCCTATACAGAGAATGCTCCGCCATGGGGCTCCTATACAGAGAATGCTCTGCCATGGGGCTCCTATACAGAGAATACTCCGCCATGGGGCCCCTCTACAGAGAATGCCCTGCCATGGGGCTCCTCTACAGAGAATGCCCCGCCATGGGGCTCCTCTGCAGAGAATGCTCCGCCATGGGGCTCCTCTGCAGGGAATGCTCCGCCATGGGGCCCCTCTGCAGAGAATGCTCCGCCATGCGGCTCCTCTACAGAGAATGCTCCGCCATGGGACTCCTCTACAGAGAATTCTCCGCCATGGGGCCCCTCTACAGAGAATGCTCCGCCATGGGGCTCCTCTACAGAGAATGCTCTGCCATGGGGCTCCTATACAGAGAATGCTCTGCCATGGGGCTCCTCTACAGAGAGTGCTCCGCCATGGGGCTCCTATACAGAGAATGCTCCGCCATGGGGCTCCTATACAGAGAATGCTCTGCCATGGGGCTCCTATACAGAGAATACTCCGCCATGGGGCCCCTCTACAGAGAATGCCCCGCCATGGGGCTCCTCTGCAGAGAATGCTCCGCCATGGGGCTCCTCTGCAGGGAATGCTCCGCCATGGGGCCCCTCTGCAGAGAATGCTCCGCCATGGGGCTCCTCTACAGAGAATGCTCCGCCATGGGGCTCCTCTACAGAGAATGCTCCGCCATGGGGCTCCTCTACAGAGAATGCTCTGCCATGGGGCTCCTCTACAGAGAATGCTCTGCCATGGGGCTCCTATACAGAGAATGCTCCGCCATGGGGTTCCTCTACAGAGAATGTTCTGCCATGGGGCTCCTCTACAGAGAATGCTCTGCCATGGGGCACCTATACAGAGAATGCTCTGCCATGGGGCTCCTATACAGAGAATGCTCCGCCATGGGGCACCTATACAGAGAATGCTCTGCCATGGGGCTCCTATACAGAGAATGCTCTGCCATGGGGCTCCTATACAGAGAATGCTCCGCCATGGGGCTCCTATACAGAGAATGCTCTGCCATGGGGCTCCTATACAGAGAATACTCCGCCATGGGGGCCCCTCTACAGAGAATGCCCTGCCATGGGGCTCCTCTACAGAGAATGCCCCGCCATGGGGCTCCTCTGCAGAGAATGCTCCGCCATGGGGCTCCTCTGCAGGGAATGCTCCGCCATGGGGCCCCTCTGCAGAGAATGCTCCGCCATGGGGCTCCTCTACAGAGAATGCTCCGCCATGGGGCTCCTCTACAGAGAATGCTCCGCCATGGGGCTCCTCTACAGAGAATGCTCTGCCATGGGGCTCCTCTACAGAGAATGCTCCGCCATGGGGCTCCTATACAGAGAATGCTCCGCCATGGGGCTCCAATACAGAGAATGTTCTGCCATGGGGCTCCTCTACAGAGAATGCTCCGCCATGGGGCTCCTCTACAGAGAATGCTACGCCATGGGGCTCCTATACAGAGAATGCTCCGCCATGGGGCTCCTCTACAGAGAATGCTCCGCCATGGGGCTCCTCTACAGAGAATGCTCTGCCATGGGGCTCCTATACAGAGAATGCTCCGCCATGGGGCACCTATACAGAGAATGCTCTGCCATGGGGCTCCTATACAGAGAATGCTCCGCCATGGGGCACCTATACAGAGAATGCTCTGCCATGGGGCTCCTATACAGAGAATGCTCTGCCATGGGGCTCCTCTACAGAGAATGCTCTGCCATGGGGCTCCTATACAGAGAATGCTCTGCCATGGGGCTCCTATACAGAGAATGCTCTGCCATGGGGCTCCTATACAGAGAATGCTCTGCCATGGGTTACATATCCCTGCAATGCTCCACCATGGTTCATATACTGCAGCCGGTGACATACACACGCAATGCTCTGCAGCCGGTGACATACACACGCAATGCTCTGCAGCCGGTGACATACACACTCAGTGCTCTGCAGCCGGTGACATACACACTCAGTACTCTGCAGCCGGTGACATACACACGCAATGCTCTGCAGCCGGTGACATACACACTCAGTGCTCTGCAGCCGGTGACATACACACGCAATGCTCTGCAGCCGGTGACATACACACGCAATGCTCTGCAGCCGGTGACATACACACTCAGTGCTCTGCAGCCGGTGACATACACACGCAATGCTCTGCAGCCGGTGACATACACATGCAATGCTCTGCAGCCGGTGACATACACACGCAATGCTCTGCAGCCGGTGACATACACACTCAGTGCTCTGCAGCCGGTGACATACACACGCAATGCTCTGCAGCAGATCTGAGGCCTGTGTATTGAATGCAGAACTATATTTAGAGCTGAGTGAGGAGGAGGAGGTGGGGGGAGAATGTGCATCCATTGAAGGGCACAGGGAGTGTGTATGGGGGGGGGATCCTGCCCCCCAGTAATAATGGGGACAATGACATCCCGGTCCCCGGCCAGGTGTTGTGTGTGGACATGGGGGGTCCCACCATTCTTCCTCTGACCTTGAGATATTCCGGAGGGGGGGATGGGAGGGAGGCGGAGGAGGGGGCTCACAACTGCTGGAATTTCATTGTTTTGGAGAGCCAGGCGAGATGCTATTTTGGGAAATTCGCTGATTGCGCAGCTTTGGGCATTGCAGAACAAACGTCA